ATCATAACTCTTCTGAGAGCCCCACTATGTGCAAGTCTTCTGGAAATTTGTGCTTTCACAGTTTATGAATCCCTAGGGAAACTTGAATCTTTCAGAGACGTCATGCAAATAAAATGCAGCATTTTACGGTCTTTGGCATAGCCTCAGGTTGCTCAGTTTTTTCCTAACAAAGTACTGATTTTCTGCTCTTCATTCCTTTCTTTTAGTAGAGATTTTCAGTTGTGCTCTTCGATTCAAACTTGGTGTTCTCTATATAGCCAACATAATCCTATTTTCTTATTATTTAACCAGATAATCAAAATGTCAAAGGCATTTCTATAGCTTAGGAATTCCCTTATTTTCCACCTTAAAATTCCATTTGCAATCATGTCTGAATCCCCTAGTTTATAAGAGAGGAAAAAAAACAACCCATTCAGTGCCCAGAAAAGAGAACATAAAACCGTATGCAGGGAGACTCACTGTAACGTGGACTAATAATATAACAACTTAAATCATCTTAGCAAAGTCATGAGGTAGAACTGGTCTGCATTCAGGGAGGGGGAAAAAAAGCATCTTCTGCATGTCTTTTCAGTCTGCTTTCCCACAGAAAAGGGGGGTGTGCAGAGTCACTATGTGACCAGCTCTGCCTTGTGGTCACCTTCGACCCCACTGGAGTTCATTTCCTATGGCAAGTAACTGTCTACAGGCATCTCGGAAGCAGAGGGCAAGGAGAGAAGCAAGATGGGGGTAAGAAAGGGTATGCTTCACTACATTATGGAGCACTGGAGAACCCATAGCTAGAGAGGACTAAGAAAACACCTTGAGATCATTGAAAACAGAGCGGCTGCTGACTTGAAGGCCCTATTAGCTGTTATTAACCGCTTAGGGTAAGCGGCATGTGATGACATTATCTTTTTTGACCAAAAGATAACAGTCTTTAAATAATCAGCCCATGACACCTGTAGAGCAGCTTCCCAGCACTGAGATACCTGTTTGTCCTCGGGAGTCTACAAACACAATCCAGATCTCGGTTTCCCTCACCGAACACTTTTTGAAGTTTGCGCCTGTCTTCCAGCCCCCTCTGCCCCCCGATTCGCCACAGTTCTGCACGATTGCAGACCTCTTCATTGACAATTACCGAGTGAAATGCATCAACGGGAAGATGTGCTACGTGCAGAGGCAGCCTCCGCCTGTGCCCCACAAGATAAAGCCCGAGGAAGTCCCTGTTCGCAATGCCTTAATCACAAAAGAGAGCAATACACCAAAACCAGACCACTGCTCGTCCCCTTCCAGCTCTGAAGACTCTGGGATCAATGCCGTGGGGGTTCACTACGTGGAGTCGTGTGATGAGGACACAGAGGGGGGCGCAGAGCTAAGTTCTGAAGAAGATTACAGCCCCGACAGCAGCTGGGAGCCAGATGAATGCCCACTCCTGTCACCCTCGCAGTGCGAAATGGAAGTGATCGAGACTATAGAAACCACTGTGTGATCCAACAAGGTGGAAGCAGATCAGTCCAGTTCCTACTCAGTAACATTGCTTTTGTAGTATTTATATTTTCTGTTTTTCTGACAATCCCTTTTTTCCAGTGCACTTGATTTTTCAGATTCCTCATGGGAGTGTGGTCACGGGACTTGCATATTGGTGAGCTAGCAGCAACCTGAGCAATTTTAACGTGTTCTCAGCCTGATCAAATCTCCCATGTCTGCACGTAAGATAGTGATAAAGTGTAAGACTTTTAGAGCTAAACAAGGCCCTTTTCTTGGGCGGGGTTACATCGTATACTACTCACGTGAAGATGTGCCACTCGTGGTGTTTTCATCTGTCAGGCTGCTTGCAGGGGGCCTTCAAAGCACAGAGGGTAAGCTGGTGCAGCACGCCTGTGAGCAGCAAAACCAGTTGTCCTTATTATTTCACATACACAGCTATATGAGGTGTGGAGACAAGAGGCTCTTTCTGCCTCTGTCTGTCCTTGCACGTTGTCCATCCCTTTCTCTAAGTGCTGGGTGCGAGCCATCTCGAATGCTGTTGGCACCACTCTTCCAGCAGTTGGTATGGCAGGCTAGAGAATGCACAAAGTGCCTCCAACTTTTCTCCAGGCTATGCACCAAGCATCTGCTGAGTTGGGTCAGGCTCTGAAATCCACTGGAAAGGCAGCTTCTGCTCCTGAGGTTAATCACTTGCCTGGAACCAGGTGGTCCCTTCTCTACATGGGTCTGGGGGAAGGGGATCTGGCTTTTGCAGCTCGGCAGGAGGGGAAGTAGGGAGAGAGGAAGTAGCGCAGCAGTCCAACCAATACCATTCTGGACCGAGGTGTAAAACAATAAGTAAAAGGCAGTGACTACCTCCAAAAATGCAAAATCAGCCCTCAGCTTTGCCTGCTGCTTCCTCCTGCGCTGCGCTGTTTGGTGCGGGAGCTGCACACTCAGCACCGAATGGCCTCAGGGCCTGCGTCTGCCTGAAGAATAGCAACTAACAGAACAAAACAAAAAAAATTGTTCTGCAGCCACACCACTGTGTTGGCAGAGCTTGGGACAGCGTGGCGGTGGGGCTCATCAAAATACAGCCTAAGGTCATAACAACGGGGAAAGAAAGCTTTGGCTTTGCTCTCCTTTTCATCCAGTTCAACAGTGGAGCCTAAATGAGGTTTTCCTTAAATAGCTGGAAACATAAAAGCTGTTTTGCTGGTGGTTGTGTTTCAGCTATGCCTGATGAAACAAAAATGTCTTTCAGAAGATTTCAGTCAGCTTGAATTAGTTGGAGTCAGTAATAACTGTATTTTCAACAGCATTACTGAATTTCTTTGTGTATTTACTGTTTACGTTTCAAAAGTCATTGGTGAATATTATAAGGCTGTATAAATGTGTACAGTTTAGTGACTGATACTAGATTGTAGTCTGTGTTAAGAGGATGGCTCATCTCTCTCACTGTATCCTGACAACGTATTACTAATTTTATACACTTTGTAATCAGTACCTTTAGAAAATGTTTAGGTAACTGTGTGTGTGTGTGTGTGTGTGTGTGTGTGTGTGTGCGCGCGTGTGCGTGTGTGTGTATGTGCGTGTGCACATGCGCGTGTGCTAGGAATTTAACATAAATGGTTATAAAGTAATACTGTACTTTCTAGTCTAACACTTTCAGACAAAAAGTAATAGGTTTTATAGTTTTGATGACTTATATAAAAAGTGCAATGCTTGTTAAATGAGGAATTTGGGCCACTGCATGAACAGATACATTCTCACATGACACTTAAAAGCATTCTGTTGTTCTGAGGGCATTTAAATGAAGGCTGTAGTAAACACTAAATAGGACTTACTTATTTTTTAAGGGTGGGGTTGTCTGTTAACCAAGGTTTCTAACAATGTTTTACTGTCTTTTGACCATTCAGCCACATTTCATAGGTAGAAGAAAACATTATATATAACCTACAGCATTTAGTCATATTTAATCTTTCAATTATAATCTAAGTGGAGAGCTGCAAACGCTCACTCTTGTGCCTGGCCTGCCTGAGCTTCCTACCTCGAGGAGGCGGGCAGACAGGGTGGGCTGGTGGATGCATCCTCTCAGGCACTAATGGCAGCAGGGCCTTTCCACAGAGGCCAGGGTGGTTGCCACCTGCCATCGAGCATGGGGTGCAAAGCACAAGAAGGGGCCCTAGGACCCTCTTATTTGGCACGAGCAAGCGAGCGAGCGAGGAGGGGCCTACTCCTCCTGCTCTTAGGGGGCACCTGCTGGGAGTGTAGTGAAAAATCAGCTGGGCAGGTATGCCCAAGACTTACCCTAAGATCCTGTAGTCTTGCAGCTTCGTATCACTGTTTGTCAAGGTACGTTCTTTCTCAACTGTAAGTAAGTAGCAATATTCACAAGCTGTGAGTATCTCCTACCAGGATTTGTTCAGATGTCTTAAGCACAATAAGCTGCTTCTCCCTTATGTTGCACCTGTAAAACTTCAGTGGAGCAGCCTGGTGTGGGACAGGGCTAGTTCTGGGAAGTGTTTTAGCAGCCAGCACTGTGGCACCTTTCTCACTAAGCTCACATCACGAGACATGGTCCTCACAGAAATGGGATTTCATTTCTTTGCACAAACACGGGCATAGGTCTGCTGTTGGAAGACTTGCCCTGAGCTAGTTGCTCCACTCTGCCAGGGAGAGGTGTGTACATTTCCTCTTTAATAAAATACTAAACAACTGAAGCTCTGCTGTCCTAAGTAACTGTATTTTCCATGCTACAGTGAAGCGTTCTGAGATTTCCAGCAAAGGAAGCGTCACTTAAAGCTTCAGAGGTGGCATCAGCTGAAACGTCTGCCCAGTGCTATGGATAGACATGCAGTAACCTGGTGGAGCGCGCCTGGCCCTGTCCAGGTTCACGCACCTCGTGAGTAGTGGGGCTGGGGTACTAACTCACAGCTCGGGTACTGACTTGAGGGATGAGCTGCCCAGGTCAGGGTGGAGGATGTTGGGAAAAGACCTACAAGTCTAGGCTGATGCCTGGAAGAGCTTAGCTGGCCTTAGCCCCTTGACTTACCTCTGACCAGGCCCATGTGACTGCAGGCTGGAAACATCACTCTGGGGTCGTGTTTTGGGTGCTGGGTAGTTCTTAATGCTAGTGTGGAAAAGGGTGAACACACCAGGCATGCCGTGCCCCATGGTACATGGCTCTGGCACTGTTCCTCAGACTGACACTCCTGCATGACAGCTGGTGCTTTTGCTTTTCTTGGGGGCAGCAGCCCTGTCCCCATACTGCTTCCATCCAGTGTAAGCTCTGCCTGGATGAGCCACGTTGCTCTGACTGTTAGTTCTGTGCGCATGGAAAGCGCCACCCACCTGGTGCTGCGCTAGTCCTGCCCAAAGCACTGGCTTTGGGACCACTTTGGAAAAGAGAGGGGAGGCAGTTGGGCCAAGCTGCAAGGTATTTTGAAGAGCTTTTTGCAGCTCATATGAGTGTGCTGGTTGGGACCCTGAGGGTATCGTACCCCAAAACATCCAAGAGCTCGTGCCAAAACAAACATGGGAAAGAGATGAGATAACGATTACCAAAGCAGTAACACACATTGTTCACAAGCCAGAGATGACATTATAAAAACATTTGTCACTGTTGCTATTAGGTTGCAGTTCTGCGAGTTAGTCTGCTAAAGGTACTAGATGGGGAAGAGCATACTGAGTCTTGCTCTTTGGCAATCCCTAGTTTGGTAGCGCAAAACAGCGAATTGAGCTTAGTAGTGGCAAACCTCTTTGACCGCCAGCACCAATGAGGCTGGTCCTCTACCCCCTGCAGCCCCTAAGAGCCTGCAAAGCCCTGCGGATGATCCGGACTGCGCCAAACCATCCCCGCTGTCCTTTTGGACCAGCCAGGGCTGCAGCAGTGCAAAAGGCAGAAGCCAAAGGTGTTCAGCAGGGCTTGTAGGTCTTGCTTTGTGACTGGTGGCTCCTGTGCCACTTTTACCCCCGCCCCCAGAACTAGCATGTGTACAACCATGGGAGGGAGGGGGAGGTTTGTGCTTCATCCACAGGGAAAAGACATATCCTTTCGCTACCAGAATTCAGTGGCAGCGGTACCAAAAAATGGCAGCCAGCAATGCTGCCAGACCAGCAGCCCTCTTACCACTGTCTTTGCGCACAAGCTCATACAGCCAAATTCAACCAAGGGCCCTTTTTAATGAAAGTTTGTAGGAACACACTGCCCAGGTTAGCTTGCTCACGCTACCCTTGTCTTATTTCATTTTCTTGCATTCTTCAGCCTTTTCCAGGTCCAACCATTCCATGCCATCAAACCACCCACGGCTCGCTCTGTAAGGCAGTGGGCCAGGCCCTGGCAAAATGACAGCTTTTACTTGTGCTAAAATTAAACCTCAAGTATGGTACCCATCAGCAAACTCAACACAGCGTTTTGAGACACACAGGCGCTGGGCACACGCAAGCTGCACTCCTCTAGCCTGCGGAGGAGGCTCCAGTTATTTGGCAAAGTTACCCCTGCTGCCATTAGCTTCAGGGTTAGTGCAGGTAGCCCACAGCGCTGCATGTTGCTTCTGCAAATGAGCTTGGACACCAGAGTTGACAACTTCCAGTCCCACCAGCTACCCTGCAGTTGCTGTTCTGTTCAGTAAGAAGTGGCAGCAGAGCTGGAAAAGTAACTGCTGCTACAAACCTAGAACTACCCAACACGGCAAAGGGTTCTGGGAAAGGCGCGGAGGAAGAGAAGAAAAAGTCCAGTGTCATCATGGAGAAGCTTCCCAGCACCAAGACCTAAAACCAACCATGGTTCCTTGCAGCCAGGGCAGAAGGGAAGAAGCGTTAGTCTTCAGCGAGTGGAGGGGGGACCAGATGGAGCTGGAAATTCTCGTTCTGGAAGACGCTGCTCGTGGCAGGGTCACCGTGGGAAATGCTGAGCAGCCCATGCTTTTCACCGCCGTGGTTGCGAGACAGTTCAGTCAGGAGAGCTAACTGCAAGACAAAACCCACACAGCTCACCATCCTGAGGCCTGGGCAGACCGCCTAGAAGCATTTAACGTAAAGTGCCGAAGGACCTGGAGAGCTCATACAGAGCTCTTCTTCCCGCAGCAATTAGAAAAGCCTTAACATATGTAAAGGAAAGGAAGTACCATGTGCAGTGAGCTTACAGAACTCACTGCCGCAGGACAGTCCTGAACTGAAACAACTCCTCAAGTTTCTTTCAGTTGTTTTTAAAATTACATGATTAAAAAACATACCCAGAAAGAACTGAAAAGTTGCAGTAACAGCTGCAGCCAGAACAGGCAGGAGGCACAAGGTCAACACAGACAACAGTAGGAGCTATGCTCTCCTTAGGACAAGCAGTGCTGCCAGGGCAGCATGGAGGGACAGGGGGTCCTCTGTGCAAGCACAGGCACCACATAGTGTTTGGAACAGAAATTATTTGCAAAAGTAAAAAGAAATTGAGAAAAGTCTTAGAAAACAGAGCGACTTCTCTGAATGGAGTACAGGGACTGCGGCTAC